CAGTCAATTATGTACACACATACGTGCACTGATGCTACAGCGGTATGTATGTATGTATGCACACTAACTTTGCACACCTTAGTGCTTAGTTAGTACACCAAATATACATCGTTTTGAGCCACAAATTATGGCTTTTCAGGGTCACCGATTTTTTAATGTAAATCACGTCGGGTGTTCACCAAAATGTTGAGGCACCGAGCTTTTTCGGGAGCCTTTTTTAGTCTATGAGTTTTGTCTGAAGCGGGCGTCAGACACGACAATTAAAACAAGAACGATTTCTTTTTAAATGTACATATGTATATTTTGCCGCCCAGGGCCAATTATGTTTGTCTATAAACCGAATTGATATACACGAATTTAAGAGGCCACCAACTCAAATAGTTGAGCCTTTAAACAATATGCGCAAAAGTAGAAGTGCGTTGTCTCATACAACAGCAACAGAAGCGTTAGATTGGCACGACGAATCTAGGTCAACTAACTTCGATTGCAGCTGCACTGGCAGCTGTGGAGACTAAGAAAAGGATAACAAAAGGAAATGTACAAAGAGAGCAATATTGAGCGCGATCAAAGTAAATATTATAAGAGTTATTAAACGTTCAGCGCTTCTTGCTTCGCAGAGCAAGGTACAATTTGTATATATGAATAATTATGCGTCTGCTGCGGACGACTGCGCTGCCTGCGCCTGCTGCTTGACCAAACAATAATTATAAAGAATAATAATAATGTTTAATGTTAAAACTAAAATTAATAATATGAAAGTAACCTAATAATAATATTGATATAATTAAAATTGTAATGACTAGCGTAATAATTTAAAAGTAACCTGATACTTGTAACGCTAGGATAAGGTTAACAAATAAATAAATAAATAAAATAAAAATACATACATCATTCCCTCAAGGGCAGATTAGAATTATGGCCCGCCGGGTCCCAGCAACTCCATAAAAATATACACAGACGGTTCTAAGCTAGACAATCGCGTAGGCGGTGGCGTCTACTGCCTAGAACTAGGTATCAAAAAATCGTTCAGACTTCCAGACCACTGTAGTGTATTCCAGGCAGAAATTCTAGCCATAAAGGAAGCTCTGCTCATACTGCAATTCTCAGCAGCAAACAACAGAGCAATCTTTATATAGTCGGATAGCCAAGCGGCAATAAAATCCCTAAACTCTATCACATCGAACTCGATCTCTTCACGAGATGGCTGCACAGTTCTCTGTTTACCTCATTTGGGTTCCAGGACATAGGAACATTGAGCGAAATTGCATAGCAGATGAGCTGGCATGACATGGTACCACTGTCTCTCCCCTTTTGGACAAGGAGAGTGTCGGTATACCAATGGCCAGCTGTAGACTATCAGTTAGGAACCACTTTGAATCTGTAGCAGATCAAATGTGGACCTACGGTTCAGACTCCAGAAAAATTACGCGTCTAACGTGGCCAATTCGCAACAAAACAAGCTCCTCAGACCTCTGCAATTTAAGCAGAATCCACTGCTGAACCACAATAAGAGCTATCATGGAGGAAACTGTTACCCACTTTCAACCCACATTTTCAAATTCATGGATGGATGTAATATAAGCGAAGACACGCAGTTAATCACGGGAAACTGAGAAGTGGATCAGTCCACGCGGTATCACAATGGGCCAATCTTCAGGACCTAAGTGTGTCAGAGTACTTCCCCTGGCTGCCGCACCTAACCTAACATAACCTACTTACATACATATATAAAGATATGTATTGAAGACAGCAGACATGTTATTTGAAAAATACTCGTATCGTTGGGCCAGACAGAACATTAAGTTAGAGACTTGAAATTTAGTACAGGTACTGGTATTGACATATATAAGAACTGTGTTAAATTTTGGACTGATCTGACCACGCCCACTACGATTTAACCACAAAACATTTCCAAAATCATCTAGAAGTTTTAGGGGTGTTATAGTGATTACGAATAAGGATTTCTGTGCACTTTCAACCTCAGCTATAAAATAAAAGTGCCCGAAAAGTCGCAAAAATTCGCCAAAACTATATTTAACGTAAGTTAATATAAATATTCAACTTTAATTTGGCAATATTACTTTTTCGCAGAAAGTTGCAGAAACTATGGTTTCACTCCACGGGCTTCTCTTTGTTTAAGTTTTATACAAATATGAGCAATACACATAAATACACACAAAAAACAAATTAAATAATACGAACACATTTTGTTTTTATATAAACTTTCTACATACCCAGGCCTTTCATTTCCATTATGAACATTTAAGTATTTTTCAAAATTTAGCAAAAGAATTAGCATCATTTTTACCAAAAAGCCTTGCAGATCGGAATTATGTCGGAATTTATGTCAGAAAATATGAATAGGAAACAAACGTCTCAACAATTTAGTAATCAACTGCTCCTGTTCGGCGTACATACATATATTCAGTTTTTAGGTTATAAGTGGGTAGATCGAGTGTCATGAGCGATCCGAACACATTCGAACATATTAATCATGGTATTATCATCGGTACATATGATAAATGTTCGATTATTGCTTGCCTATAGGCAAAAACGCACGATCATTAACGATATTACATATGTACACCTAATTCTGTTTTTACACGGTATATTGGTTCCAGAAAAAACCGTGTAAAAAAGTTATTGATCATATGCAAAAATAGGTGGTTGGTTCCTTATCTATAAAGAAATATACATATATGCAATTTTTATTTTTCAAACCGTGTTATATCAAAATCGTGTAAAAAAGACTGTGTAAAAACAGAATTAGGTGTATATGAGTTTGGATGTCGTGATTCGAACTGAATGTGTGCTTTGAGCTTATTCTCAAACGATCATTCCTTAACGCTCAACCAACATGGCATAGTCATAACGAGAACGAGTTAACAGTCAAGTGGGAGCCAACATGTATTAATCGTTGCAGTTCTCTGATATATGTATGTACATATGTATGTGTACACACATACAGATTTCGTTGGCCAATTAACCTAGCCCTCGCTTAACGCGGGGGTTACGTTCCTTGAAAACGTCGTGTTAAGCGAAATCGCGGTAAACGAGCCATGTATTTCCATACAAAATGATTGGTTACGTTTGTAGACTTCGAAAAATGCATACAAAAATTGTTTAGTGTTTACTGATACTTATTAGTTTCAAAGGTTTATTCAAGTGGCAAAAGTTTTCAAAAGTAAAAAGAGAGCACATATGTATGTACATATGTATGTACATATGTATGTACATATGTATTAAAAAATGAAATGAAAATGAAATGAAAATTCATTTATTGGCATTTATAGCAGCTGCTTTAGTAATTAACATTTTTTATATGTTGACTCCGCTTGCGTGGCAAAAAAATCAGTAATTTTCGACTGTTTAGTGGCTCTTAAAGCTTCATAGCATACCTTATATGGTTTATTTTCTTTTTCTGCCATGTAGAAACTGCAATTTGTATAATTTACTTTATACCATTTTATTTCATTCAACGGTTAAACCATTTCACTCATCACAAGAATTTTAATCTTACTATGTGCACGTCTGAAGAAATAAAGTTTTGCTCACCTTAGCAACTACTTATGTATGGAGTCTATACCATGGACATACGAGCATGCACTCATTTTTACTCTGATGGTGTAGAAAGAGGGACTTCCCATTTTCTACACACATCTCATGTGTGGTGATACATACTATACCCAAAGATACTCATGCAATAATCGACAATATAAAAAAAAAATCGATTTTATCAATCGCATTAGAACGAGGTATTTGCAATTGTTTAAAGCCATTTCATGTTTGATTTTAGAGTGGTGCAACGATCAAAGGTCTGTTGCTTAATGTGAAAAGCACGTTCATTGATAGATCAAGACGTGTATGGCCTGCATATGGTGAGTCACATTTAAATAGAAAACAATGAAGAACGCTATAGTCGAGCAAGCTCAAGAGTAAAATACCCTGTACTTTCAAAAAAAAAATAAATAAATAAAAAAAACAATATTTTGAAAATATGTATTTTTATTAATTAATTAATAGCATACGTTTACATCAAAATCGCGTCTATGCATGTCTATATTCGTGTATGTATGCAGTACATGAATAAATCAATGCAGCAACAACAATAACAGCTGCGGGCATACCTTCGGCAGAGAGTATTTTTATGGCTATAACTTCCTTCATAATTAACCTATCGCAATAAAATTTGACATACGGACTTATAACCAATAACTGGATATATTTGCTAAATCAGAATTTCCAAAAATTACGGAAGCTATGAAAAAATCACGAAATGCGGGGGAATGGGGGGTGTATTAGTAAAAAAAACCCAAACCCGATCTGCCTAGGGCTTTTGGGAACCTCGATACCAAGTTTGGCTATCCCAGCCCTTGTACATGCTGAGATCCTTCAACTCATACATACATACATATGTACATACAGACGGACATGGCTATATCGACTCGTCTTGTCACCCTGATCAAGTATATTAACTTTCAGGGGTCTGCCACGCCTCCTTCTGTGTGCTAAATACATTCGCAGGGTATAACAAGGATTTACTCGGAGATGGGAAATCTGAATTGTTGTTGAGAAAAAAAAAAGACCGGATTAGTCTGTAATACCAAAAGCAACCAAATACATATATATATATATACATACATGCATGTACATACTTTATACATACCTACATATGCATACACATACATACATATATGCAAACATGCTGCTATAAAATTGTAAAAATATACATACATATATACATTATACATACCTGCAGTGTATGTGCTTAATGGCAATATTACTGAAGTGTATGTATGTACTTAAAGATATGTACGTACTTATGCATGTATGTATGTATACGTATGTACATACATATGTATATGTAGGAACATAAAATACAAATGTAGTAAAGCAAGCAAGGCAGCTCATCGTTTGGCCGTTGATTTAGTTCTCTGCATAACCGGTAGTGAGAGAACGTGAAATACTGCACAGTCGTTCGGAGAGCTGAACCGGTACGCGGTCTCTGTTTCCTCCTGCAAAGTTTTCTTTGGTGAATTTAGTTGAAATTTAGTAGTTGACCGTAACGGATGAAAAGTTCCAATTAGCGGATCGTGAGTTTACAAAACAAACTTTATTTTGTGCAACTTAAGCACAACCAGCAAAAAATTTGCAGATATATGTAAAAACAAATTTTGTGAAATAACTAAACAAAAGAAAATACATGCATACATAAGTATAAACACATATGCATACATGTATATATATGTATATAATACATGTGTATTATATATTATATATATGTATATATATAATACATAATACACATGTGCCAGCTTTTGTACATTTGGGCTATGCTCGTTATTTACATTTTAGTGTCAGTGCGTACCCGATATTTTAGCACTAAACCAAGTTGAAATTAAAAATTGCACAAAAAAAAAACAACTGATGCTGTGAAAAATACCTCTTCACTGTGGCAGTTTTTATTATTACTCGTTTATCATGTGTCTATCAGCTTGCTTCGTTTAAATATCGTGTTCTCTTCTTCATTTACAGTGTGTTCAATGTATGCATACTTTTGCTAAAACGCAAAATTTAAAACATACGACGCGTATATCAACCTAAAGTAATTCCAATTATACATACCACGCAAACAACTAATAACAACCGCAGCGGATAATATTGTAACTACCCTAAAATCAATCCTCAACACAACTATAACAAAAATGGTAAGTTTTTCAATATAATTTTTGTATGTATGTATATATATATGTACATATGTATGTATATACTATGCTCATACATGTGTATAGAATATACTGCAAACATACAATCGTTAAATTGCCATAATTTTCCAATCGCAAAACGGAGTAATAATACTTCCTATTCAGCAAATTAAGCTAAAATACATGAGTTTATATGAACACACTATTACGTGGTATCATCCATATAAGTAATATATTTTTAAATTCAAAATAAAAGCACAATATATACATATATGTATATACAATTATATATACCCACATGCATAAATAGTACACGTATGCAGATACATATTAACATCTTTGTCGGTAGTAATAATTTTTGTAGGCCTTGATAAGAAATAAAAAAACGTTATCAGGGGGTGGCACTCCCTCCCTTAGTAACTCATCAGGTCTTATTTCTTTGGAACTCATTTTTATTTACATACATAAATACATACATACATACATATCCACACAAATACATCTTATAAAAGAATGGAGGAAGCTATTTTCGCATACAAATGTAAAAATATACATGCATAAGTACATGTGTATTATATGCAAGTGGCGGAAGAAATGCATCTGCATACGTACATACATATGTATGTTGTATATAATTCATGTCCTACATGTGTACATACATACATATAAATTCATACATATTCAATATACATACGTACATATACATATGTGCGCACGTATATACATACATATGTATATACATATGCATATGTGTAATAGATTTTACCTGTATATAAAACTAAAAGTAAATGGCATACCGAGCTGCTACAGAAGACATACATTTGTATGTATGTACATACATAGCAGCCCGGCATCTTGACTTTATACTACATACATATGTATGTATGTGTATATAAATTCATATACAAATGTATGACTGTATATATGGCCCGTATTTCGTGGCAAAAAATAGGTTAGAGTTGTGCAAAAGTAACAAAAAAACATATTCTTTGTATATGTCTACCTCTTCGGTACATTTTTTTCGCTCTCTTCTGGTTTTTACCTGCGCCGAAATTACTCTTTTTAACCGATTCAAAAACGCGCAACAGCAACAGCCGCTTATTACCGATTTATACATATTTTCTGAGCATACGTATGTACATATGTGTGCATACATATGACCACAATTCTCTCTTAAAATATTTACGCGCGTACGCACAACTGTTACCAATCGCATACTGCTATTGTGTTCACGTCAGTTGTGCTCTTTCGCGGTGTATGCCTTTTGTTGTTTTCTTCTATAACCGTTTCATTTGCCGCATTGCGGTTATTTTGCTGTTTCGCTATGTGCTCATCGCTTGCTCCTTGTTTCACTCTGCAAAAACGACTGCAAAGAAATGTGTAAAGCAGAGGCAGCGCGAACAGCGCCCAAATGAGAAAAAATTATTGCTAAACAGAAACCATCATGTTGAAAATATGGTGGGAGCAATAAGTGACATTGCGTGTTTACAATACGACTATCAGCTTCTAAATACATTGCTACATAAATATGTATTTATGTACATATGTATGTATGTATGTATATGTAATATGCAAGTACAGTGGCTTAAAGCTTCTTTTGACGAGGCATCATGTAAAACTTTTGAGTGCTATTGCACCTGAGATCTTAAAGATAATAACAATTTGCTTAATCGTGTTTTTATATTTATAAACTAGCCGGTTTTGCCCGTCGTTGCTGGCGCAGTGTTTGTGCTTACAATTATACGATTATTTACTAAATGAGATTTCTCTTCCGACACTCTCTAAAGTTTCTAAAGAGTTCATTTCCCAAATAGCAAATTACTTTGGTATTACATATGTATGTACATTTAAAAACCAAAGTGTACTTTAACTTTTTTTGTCCACTGTACATACATACATATGTATATCATAATTATTTCTTCTATTTTCAAATTTTCTAAAACCACTTCTTGGTGTTCACCTACCTTTGACAGCTTTTTAACGCTTACTTACATACCCACATACACATGTACATAAATACATACCATTTTTTTCGTGCACCAATAAACGCCCAATGCCAAAAAATGGGTTGAAAAATCAGATATGTATGTTATACAAATCCATACATACATATATGTATGTATGTAAATACATACATAAACATATATCCCATAAAAGAATCCCAGGTCATGCATTTCATAGCAAATTGAAAAATGTGCATTTTATCCTTTTACATTTTAAGTCTGGACCACACTTAGGCTTTTTAAAAGTCGTATCGTTGTGTTTTGGCGAACTTAAAATTAATAATTATTTAAAATGCCCCGCAAAAACGAGTTAAGCATAGAAAATAAAATAATTACTAAAACTATGACTGATTATGGCATAAAAGTCTGTGTTATTGCTAAAGCAATAAACAAGCATAGGAATACCGTCTCAAACTTTTAAAAATATCCGCGAAAATATGCTCAAAACAGCCGGAAAAGGGCAGTTCCCAAAGTTGGTAACCGCACTTAACGGCATATTCAACCTTTGGCAACCACCAATATAATGAGCTGATCCCAAACTAGGGCTGGATTAAAGATGTAAATAACTGGGCTACAGTTGCAAAAAATTTGGAGAATGGAAATGTGTTTCCAATATAATGCCAAGGTGCATAAACCAAAGATATTGCACCGACATAAAATGGCCCGTCTTGCATTTTACGAAAAATACAAATTTTGGGACAGGAAAATCAAATGGGTCATCTTCAGTTATGAAAAAAAATTTAGACGGTTCATATGGAAACCAAAAGTATTGGCGCGATTTAAGCAATCTCCGGCAGATTTACCACAGGTGCAACCATACCGGTATGGTACTTATGGTATGGGCGGCGTTAAGCTCCATTGGGAAGCTACCAATATGCTTTATACCAGATCGGCCGAATGCGTAAATGTATGCGGATCTCCTGAACAGCGAACTTATACCATTTCCAAAAGAGTTCCATGGAGAGGATTGGAAATTTTTCTAGACATGAAATATCCCCTTAATGCATTGTCCTGCCAAAATTCCGGATTTAAATCCAATTGAGGGCCTATTGAGGCATCCTTTAAAATACTCTGTATATATGTTTACAAAAATTATGGAAAAAAATGTAAAAAAAAAATGTTAAAAAAAAAATTGGATCTATTTTACCTCGCTCGGTATTTGAACTCACGTAAAGGGTGTATAATTGCCCATATACAAAGCAATTGCGTCTATGTGAGTGTATGAATGCCTATGCGCATCTATTCGCGTCTGTGTAAACATGTTTGCAGTCAACCAAACAGCATCAACAACACCTGCGGGCAGCGCTTGGGCTGCCAATATATTTATGACTATAACTTCTTGTTAAATCGGTCTATCATAGCGAAACTTGGCATGCGGACATAATAACTAACTAGGGGTAATTGCAAAATTTTAGTTCGAAATTCCAGGAATTACGCGAGTTACGATTTTCGGGGGAGAGAGGGGTATTCACATAAGGCATTTTGGACTAAAATTTGGTGTCACTAGGTCTTATAGTCACCGAGATTTAGGCACATAGGCTTGCACAGCGTACAGTCATAACGCATCTTTGTGCAAAATTTGGTGTCTCTACCTCTTATAGTCTCTGAGATCCATGTGTTCATACGGACGTCTGTCCGTCTGGACATGGTTATATCGACTTGTCTTGTCATCCTGATCAATAATATATATACTTTATGGGGTCTGCCACGCCCCCTTCTGCCTGTTACATTCGCACAAAACTAATATAGCCTTTCACCCTTTGGGTACAGTCTACAATAAGGTACTTTCCGTCAAAAAAATTAATATGTCTAAGTGCGTCTATTCTATTGACCAAGAAAAATGTGAAATTTTTAAGTAACTTTAAAAAAATGATTGAAAACACAATTTTGCAAGGTTTATGCAAATTTTTTTGAGGCAGCATTAAAGTAATATATATTAAACAAATTAAATGCAAGTAAGCGTGCGTCTAACCTAAGACCAGCAGTGTATGTACAATTATGTAATCTCTGCCTTAACACAACTGTATACTGCGCACATCTCACACGAAGACACGCATAGACACAGATAGTGCAAAACTTTGTCACTTGTTTTTAATTTAATTAAATTAATTTTATTAAGCTGAAAAAATATATTTATTTTTATTTTTGTAAGGAGGGTGCGGGTACAGGGTATATAGCAGTTGGGCCTGCTCAACTCTAGCTTTCCACTCTTGTTTAAAATTATATGTTCTATACGTCTCAATTCTATTTTTTTTTAATTGTGGTGAACTTTACAAAGAAATGAGGTGATTGTAGTTCCACAAAATTTGAGGATCTCAAAAAGTACAATACATACACCTAATTCTGTTTTTACACGTGGTATCTCTACCTCTTATAGTCTCCGAGATCCAGGTGTTCATACGGACAGACAGACAGACAAGGCTAGATCGACGCGTCTCGTCATGCTGATCAAGAATATATATATACTTTGCGGGGTCTGCCACGCCTCCTTCTGCCTGTTACATTTTCAGCTCCCGCAAACCTAATATACTCTTGCACATTTTATGTACAGAGTATAAAAATGTAAGAGGGGTCATTGTCTAGGAAATTAAAATTTTATTCAATTCGGTCAATTCTAAGAAAAGTTATTAGCGCAACAAATTCTCGCCAGTACAACCCCCCAAACTGCAGCAACAAGTTCGCTCTTCTTCCTCTTTTTGCTGCTATGGGCTCATATAACTCAGTGACGGAAGTTTACCTGGGTACAGGGTATTACACTGTCGGGCTTGCTAGACTGTAGCGTTCTCTCTTGTTTAGTTATCAATATCTATCACCTATTTAAAAAAAAAAAAAAAATCTAACATTCAAGGGTACCTAAGAAACTTAAAAAAACAAGTTGCACATATATGTATCAATTTTACTGAGGTACATTCACGGAATTCTTCAAAATACATTTGTATCGTTAGCTGATTATTTATTTGTAAATCGAATAATTAGGAGAATGTCGATATTTAATTTACG